CACACACACACACACACACACACACACACACACACACACACACACACTACATATACATGTATAAATATTTCACACGCTGCAATGCTTTGTGAAAATGTTTGCATTTATCCTCTTATTTACTCTTTTTTTAATTTCTCACATGTGTCACAAGTGTCAAGAAGGTACACAATCGATTGTTTTTCAAAACAGCAGCATTTAGGTCTGAGAAGTTTTTTCAAAATAGCATATGCCATGGAAAAAGAGTTGTGCTTTAATGTGTTTCTGGATTTAACACCAACTGATTTAAATTATGTTTTACTTTTAGCAATGGACTAAGCTGAGCCTCTGGCAAAAAACAATTGATTGGTGTGCCAATCAAGTATGTGGATGATTGTACTCCAGCACTTTCTTAGAATTAGGTTAAAACAGCTATTTTTGTTGCAGCATAAAACTATTATTTATACTTCCATCAATCCATGATCTATACTTTGTAATCTTATTTAGGTGGCGAGGGTTCTGGGGTCTAACCCAACAGTCATTGGGCAAGAGGACCCCTGGACAGGTTTTTGGCTTCTGTTGTTACATATTTTTATACTGATATTAAAGCTACACAGTTTTCTTTATTAGTTTGTGTTTTTTCTTTTATTCTTGTCAAAGCCAGATTCACTGCTTTCTCTTTTGACCTTTTGAACATACGTAGGGAAGCGTATACAAGCAGTTTTACACAGCGATACATCATCAGGTCCCATCTGAAGACAGTCTGCGCGTACATGATAAAGACACACACACACACACACACACACACACATTTCTAAAAAAAATACAGACACACACACAGCTGGAAGGCTTTCTATCATGGTGAGATGACTACAGGCTGAGAACAATAGACCATCTCTTCTCCCATCTGGTGAACCGGAGGATGAAACTTCATTTACATTTCAGAACCCCCCACCTCAGGGTATCATGTGTATGCGTGTGTGTTGGGATGGAGGAATGGTAATAGAGTGAACAAAACGAGATTCATTTCAGGGTGAATTTGGGATTATGAATTAACACACTGCAGTGCTGAAAGACTTAATTTACGGCTAATTAAGTGCGTTGGCTCATTAAAATGGCTGTTGCGTTTAAACCGCTCTGCCTGCCCAGCCCCTGGGCCCTGTATTTGTGTGTGTCTGCATGTGTGTTTGAAAAAAAAAGCGAGAGATGGTAAATTGTTTTTCAATGAACAGCTGTAGTGAAGAGGTGTATAAATTAGATTGGCAAATTGTAATAAAATGTACCTTCTCCTCTTTTTTTTCTCCCTTGCTCTGGCTCCCTCTTAGGTGAGAAGCCCTATAAATGTTCATGGGAAGGCTGTGAATGGCGCTTTGCCCGCAGTGATGAGTTGACAAGACACTACCGTAAACACACCGGAGCAAAGCCATTCAAGTGCAACCACTGCGACAGGTAAATACACAGCCATCCTAATGTACACAAAACAAATACACACAATATACTTTGCATTGTATGACATTCTGGTCATTTATCTGTAACTGGGGTTCATGTTACTAAACAGCAATAAATCCGACTAAAATTTTAATATCAATATGTTCGTCTGACAAAGATTCCCCTTCACTTGTTGCAAATAAGTCATTATGAATTTTTTAACGGAGATGAGCATTTTCTTAAGTCTGTTTTGGTCCTTCAGTAGTTGTGCAGGAGGAACTCAGACAAGTTTTTGTCTGGTAGGGTAATAAAGATACAGAACTGTAGTTTATGGTTTATTAAATTTAATCATAAGACATGCAACAGTCTTGAATTAAGCTAGTTCTTTGTGTGATTCATATTAGAAGACAGAGAGAGAATTGCACGGAAGACGTGCTTCTGCTATGAAACTGACCACTGAAGGAGCAGATTTATTGACTTTCAAGTCATGTTATCTTAGTGAAACAAAGGAGAGACGAGGGGGTGTAAGCCCTGAGCTGAAAACACACCGAAGCCTCATATACCTTAGCCAAGGATGTGTGTGTTAGTCTGCTTTCAGTGAACTCGCCACTGTTTTGTTTGGTCTTCGAGGTAAAGAGAGTGTGTATGGATGTGAGTGTCTGTAAGAGTGTGTGCTTACTGATGCTCATGTTAAATGGATTTTGGCTATTGGCAAGCAACTCCCAGCTAATTGAGTGGCACCAGCTGCCAGCACCACTTGTACATGCACTCACTCTCAGTGTGTGTGGGTGTGTTTGAATGTGTGTGCCTGCAATGCATTTCCAATTGAAAACATACACACTTTGACGCAGACTAACCCAAGAGACAGTGTAATTGGCTGTTGTGAGTTCCCTCTAGTTTGAGTTTTAGGCATACCCCCCCAAAAAAAGCCTGCTGAAAGCTTCTAATCCAGGCTGAGAACTGGGACAGCTCCTTGGATCACAAGCAAACTACACGCACACACACACAGTGTATGTAGAAGAGTATTTAGGAAGAAAAAGTCATGCTGACTCACATGAATATTTAATATCTATAAATCATAGCAAAACTTGGATAGACAAAATCATAGACATAGGCTGATTCAGTTCTTAGCGCCATGAAGCTCGGCCTAACGTGAGTCCACAGTGTCTGAGGTAAAGCTTGCTATGAAACTGACATTTTCCTTAAACCTAAGTTAAGTCAACAACAGAAAGCAGCATGGAGATAAATTGTGCATACTCTGTGTTTCAGTTAACTTTAAAATATAAAGCTCATGATATTGAGAATCAATTAAAGCTTTTATTATGGTTTTGATTTCTACTGAAATTTGTTAACAAGATATTAAGCAAAGCAGTACTTGTCAAAACATTGGTAGACCATCTAAAAGAGAAAAAAATTGGGTATGTAAATTTAAACCTTTTCCCATGATGTTATTTTGGTATGGTCAAAACACATTGAGACACTACCTCTAAGAATTCCAATACTTTGATTTCATTATCTATGCAACAGAACAATAGTTATTGTCAAGGCAAATATTTCATACAAAACTATTTGTATCAACAAAACTAAAATTCCAGAAGTATATAGATTTTTTTTTAAATCAAGATTTGATCCAGCTTCAGATGCAGCTGTTACTTTATTTGTTTTGTTTTTTCTAGCATTCTAGAAGTTTGTTACCAGCTTGAAATGAATAAAATACAGTCTCTCTAATAATCGGGGCAATATTAGTTGATTACAACATGTTGAAAGAAGGGATGTGACATCCTCAATCACAATGGACTGATTGTGTGAGGAAGTATATATTTCACAGATACTTTAAAATGGTTGGTTGTTTCCCATTAAATTAGTTACAGACATTCAGGTTATTTCTGAACTTCTCAGTTTCAGTTTAAGATTAAAGTTCCAGTTCAATTATTTGTTTGCACAATGTATTGACAAATGCTGAAAATGAATAATGTTATGGTCATCTACAGCTTCTTGAAGCCTTCCAAATAACATAACTTTTCTTTTGATGCTCACAAAAATCAGATGTATGTAAACATGACTATTATAGCCAATATGTACCTACATCTGCAAATGCAGAAAGAGCTGTGCACACACATGTGGTGGGTGGACGATGCCAAGTATTACCATAACAATGGCAAAAAAGTGGCAGCCATTGAGAAGCTAACATTTGATAGAATGTTCAATAAGACACAATTTCTCCAGGGGATACACCCTCACACATTCGTGAGTATGTTATTAATCCTGCCTAATCAAGCAAAGACCCCTTGATGTTTCCATGGAGCTGGAAAAAGGAGAAGTGATTACAGAGAGAACAAAAAAAAGTAGAGAGGAGGAGAGGAGAGCGCTGGATAAGATGGAGGTACCAGCTGGCTGCTACGCCCCCCAACAGTGTCACAGTAGCTGGCATGGCCATCTGTCCAGCTTAACACACACATGGTTAAAGCAGTGAAAGTCAACATTAGGTACCAATTAGTCAGCTAAACTATGACTCACCAGACCACAGACAACAAAGAGCAGAACCTTTATGTTTTGGACGAATCAATGCATCCGAGAAAGTTCTGTCCAAACCTGCTTCCTGTTAATATTGAAACACTTCACTTGAGTCCAGGTTGTCCTGCTATATTCTTTCTCTATCATTCGCTAACAGAGAAACAAAGGAATCACATTTCTAAATTGATTTTGTTTTTGGGAAGGTGCAGGATGAAACCAAAGAAGAAAATCAATTATTCCAATTACTAAAGCAGCAAGCAATTTTATGTCATGTTCAAGGAACCAATTTGCATTGTCCTGTTGCAAGTAGCCACCAGGAGAAGGCTACACTGTGGTCATGAAGGGTGGACATGGTCAGCAACAACATTCAGGGCTCCGGCATTTAAACAAAGCTCAAGTTGGGGGTTTTTCTTGGGAATCAATATATTCTATGAGGAGGTTCAGACATACAGCTTCATAGTAATATTTTGAGGGTATGAATAATTCTATAAAGGTGCAGGACTCTTCAGAATTCTGCTTTGAACTGGCTGAATTTTTGTGGAGGGTTTGTTGTAGCTCAGTATGAAGCTTCACTTGATTACTGTTCTCTAAATGATTGATTGCAAAATCTTACGGATAAAATTAGAATTATCATTCACAGATAAAGCTCCCGCTTCTAAGGTGTTGATTGAATTTCGCTCTGTCCTTATTTAAATCTGAACTATAAGAATAGATACACACGTGCAGACTCACTTCTAATAGGTTTTACTAATTAATAATTAATTAAGCCTCTGGCAAATTAAATTTTTAATTTCTCATTTTCCTCTCTTCCACATTTTGTTTGGTCTCTCCTTTACTCACGTCATTGTATCTTGGGTTATTGTGGACGTTCAGCTTTAATGTGGTCTCTATCCATAAAGTACAAGTGACATTGTGAGTTTTATATTCTGACTCACCAACACCTGGTTTATGGCATCAGATTCAGTTAGAACTACCGTCTGTTTTCACCAGTCTCTGCATTGTCAGAGCAAACCTAATGTGTCCCTACAGTTGAATTTGACTGTAAACTACAGGCCTATCTTTAGAGTTGTGCAGGTCTGGCTGTGATTTATGGCTGTATTTATATTTAGATCAAGCTATCCCTGGCAAAATCTATATGAAGCAAGACAGCCTATGTGCACTACTTTTGAAAATGAGCTGTCATATCTGTACTTCCGTATGTCATTAACAGTGTCATATTTCTGGCTTCATTTTAAAACCTTACAATCGGCTCTTACTCACACATGACTATGTGAACATCAGCTACCAAAACCATTTAAAACGACAACTAATTGAAATTTGGCTTACTAGCCAAAGCAAACAACGCCTGATAGTGTATGTCAATGTACTCAATATAGTTCCATTATCACTGAATAAATTCACAACCACTGGGTGAAAGCATCACCGTCTTTGCTGGTAAAATTCCCTTTCGGAAGAAGACTGCTGATGATGGAAGACATGTGTCACCTTATCGAGTATTAAAAACGTCAATTGTCTCGAAAATAGTTCAAACAAACTCTTTCAGTTTGTACCACTCAGTCAGTTCCAGTGCATCTGTTTACAGTACCCGCAATAGGGGAGTATTTTTCATGTATAATTTTAATTCTAAGATTAAGATAAAAAGATTTAAAATAAGTGTATTCAAAGAAGTGTTGGGGTGGGAGTGTAAAACTGACAGTACTGACAGTACTGCACCTGAAAAAATATACGCTGTCATATTCTGTCATCACTTTTTTGTATGAAGTGAAATCACTTCTATCTCGTACATCTGTTTCTTTAAAACCTTTAGCCAGAATAAAGAGCCCAAAAGCCTTCTCTGTCCTGAAATGATGGCAATATATGAATGTTAGTGAACTTTCCAAGTTAACAAAGCTGCTGATTACTTTCAAGATCAAAATTATTGGTGGCATTATGTGGAAACAGAGACAGTTCAGAGTGTTTTGTTGGCTGCAAGTGTGGACCAGATCTTGAAAATAATAATTCCTGGTGTTAAGATTCAGAAGATTAAGACATTTTCCAATTAATTACAGAGAGCCAGTACCTATTTCAGGGAACTAACAATACCTAACAATACATTGTTAGGTAATAACAACTAAACCAATATGCTATTTACAGTAAATGTATGTTCTTATGCCATTTTATTCTTATGCCACCTAATTTATTCTATTGTGTATTACCTCACAGTATATAGAACAGTCTAAATATCTGTTTTTTGGGCTGATAAATGCATATTTTTCATGTTTTTTCCTTTTTTTTTCTTGGAGGTGTTTTTCTCGATCAGACCACCTGGCTCTTCACATGAAGAGGCACATTTGAGGAGAGAATGAGAGAAGAAGAAGAGGAACGAGACTTGGAGTAAAGAGAGAAGAAGGAAGAGTAAAAAGGAGAAAGAGGGATGGGCTTCCGAATGTCTGCCGCATTCACCCCATCCAAACACTGGTGGCCTCAAATAGCCTTTTGGAGATCAGATCAGGAGGAAGATGAGGAGTAGCTAGATTGTTGTTCTTCTTAAAAATTACACATTCACCCATTTTGCAATAGAGACCATTTTACACACCTGTCTCTAAATGCATCATCCCAAGCTGTACTCATACAGCTCTGGGGACTTGGACACTGCCAAAACAACGTGTACCTAACTCACCGGATGAACCATTGCGTCGCCTTATTTTCATTTTTTCTCTCTGTATCAGTGTGTTTACATTATTAAGTCACTTTGGTTAGCAGCTAGTCCAGTAAGGAAGCGTTTAATATTATAGTCAGCTGTCCGTGCTTTACAGGCTTATGATACGCAATTTTTCTCTTTTTTTTTTTTTATACACTGAACGTGAGAACATTAAAAAAAAAACGTCATCTGCCACAGCAACAACTTTCTATCATTTACGAGAAGAAAACAACAACGGCAAATCTGCGGGAGAGACACTATACGGATTGATTCCTAGCATTGCTGGCCATCAAACCCAGGGGTCAGATGCTAGGCGTGGAGAAGTGCCGGTGGGACCTCGGCCAGCAGGTGATGCTGCAGCTCTCATGCTCTCCCCCAGGGGGGGAAAGTATCTCTCACCTTCACCTGCAGCCCCAGCGGGCTATCCGACAGAAATGCGCAGCGACACTTTCTTCTCTTTTTTTCTACTTGAAGGATAATAATTCTTCCTATTGTTGTTATTTACAAGATACAAGTTGTTTTTCTCTCTGGGAGAAATTGTCTTCAAATCGCTAAGACGGCTTTGAGAATACACCGAAAATCTGAGATGACTTCTGCGGAACGTGTGAGAAGAGAAGGAGAGCATCGTTTGTCTTTTCATCCCCGTTTGCACTGATTGTGCATCTGCAGTGTGTGAGCAACCAGTGGATGAAGAGAAAGAGAAAACTAAATCAGCACCAGGGGAACCGATATGTGTTTTGTTTGGACTGAAAGGAAAGAAAAACACAGTGGTCTTAAAAAAAAGTTCTGCCCTGAGACTAACGACTGAAAAACAAAACCCTGGTACGACCTCCCGTGGCTTCATATGTTACCAGCAAGAAGGAAAAATGTTGCAACCCATATTTTATATGTTTTTGTTTTGTTTTGTTTTGTTTTACAATTATTATGAGAAAAATCATCCACGAGTGCTTTCAAAGACTGGGAGATCTCATCTCCCTGGTATCACCACAGGCATAGAACAGAGACCGAAGTGCTACTTTTTGGTTATCAATATGGGACGAGTGATGCCAACTGACCTCAGCAGGTCAGCTCTGAACAGATTTCAACCTTCATATCCCAATTTCTAATCATATTAGCTCATATTTGAATTTTGTTTGCACTTTTTATCTAAACAAAAAAAAAAAAACCTTTTTGAAAATTATAAAAAGGCTTTAAAAAATGCATCACAAAGGGATTCATCTCACTCTACGCTTTGCATATAAAACAAGCACACTTAGTATTCACACGCGTTCACTGCAGTTCCTAGGCTCACTGCACTGCTCCTCTCAAAAAGAGACTAACAATATTCTGGAAAATAATAGTTAAACTAATGAATAGATGATGACAACAAAACATCACGTACACTGTTCAACTCACGAACACATACTCTTTCTAAAAAATGTTCTGCTCTCGAATCTTTTTTCACAGTATGCAGTTATTGTTTTGTGGAAGAGTTTCTTAGCTCCTGGCTGGGAGTAACAATCAATCCCAAACCCCTTTGAAGTGAGAAATATTCTTGTTCTCTTATCCAGCATTTGCCACAGTTTGCAAATCTCATTTAATCACCCTGTGGTTACAAGTTTGGTTAAAAGTACGTCAGTGTTTTGATCAGAAATAAGCTTAAGTAATCCAACAAGGAATAAGCGGTGTGGACAATGAATGAATGAATGAATTAACTAATTAGCTACAACAGAGGAAAATGTATCTCAATAACAATGGTCTTACATTCTAATGTGCTTTCACGCCTTCTGCTGAATCAGTTTTATGATCATGGAAAGGAACCGAAAATAACTGAACATTGACTGTACCTGTCAACCTGGTCAATTAATCTTAACAACATTCAATAACACAGAAACATACATTTCTAATAAAGAACAAAACAAAAACATCAATCTCTTTAGAAAGTCAATTTTTGTTTAAAACATTTTTGGGGGTTTTGACCTATGGAAATTAAATATTTATGTATTTGAGGGTTTTCCCATCGGATCGTCTTTCTGCTTTCGACACCAAATGAATTATTTTTTTAAACTCTACTATTTAATGCACGTTGGCTAGTTTAGTTTGGCTTTGTAAAGTTTTTTCTTCAATCAATTTTGCAGTCAGGCCAGTCCTTGTCCCTTGAAAAAAGACTCCTGCTGCATTTCCAAAGCCATACGTAATATTTTGATGAAAACATTGACTAACATCTATTGTGACTAAATGTAGTCACCAAAGTAACAGTAAATGAGTAATAAATGAGAAGTTATTTCCATCTTCAAAGCCTACATCCATCAATCATTCATTTAAAAAAATAAAATAAAATAAAATTCTCTGGCACTGAGCTGCCACAGGAAGAATCTTTTTGTTTAGTGGCCTGTGTATCGGGCAGCGGTTCTCTCTACTAAGTCTGCTAAATATGAACAAGCGGCTGAAGTTCTGGTTATTTATTTATTTTTTAACTTTATTGTAACTACTTTCTCCTCCAAAAGCTAATAGATGCTTTCCTCAGCTTAGATGATGCAAAGTGGTGCCAAGACATGTAGAGACCTCCCTTAAACAGGATATAGAATAATTGATGAATAGAAATAGTAGCAGTTTTACAAAGCTTTTTATAGCTTACATGTGTTTTTGTGTCTGTCCCCCTGAGGGAAGCAGCCATTCAGCGGTGACTCAAACAGATTCATGATTGTTAAACTAGCATCCATTTATGTGGGGGGGAAATTTGGTATAGCTGGTGGTTTTCTCTTCCAAACAAATTTGTATCTCTTTTTTTTCTTACCCTTCATTCATTCATTTATTCATCCATGCAACGTTTTTAACTAGATGATTTGAGTCGGACTATAGAGAATCAAACACATACCCTGCACCTCACTAACTCAAGCTCAAGTGAAAATAGATCAGTTCACTCTCCAAGATTAGTTCAAATTCAGTTGACATTCTCGCAGGCATGAGGCTAACAATTTATGTTTCTGATAGAAAAAAAAATCAATCAAATACAAATGTATTAGTGCCTATTCTGCTATTTGGAAAACTAGCGGAAATCAGGTTTTCAAAATGAAATCATACTTTTTAGAAATGAGAGGGGACACCTTGTTTGCAGAATGACTGTAGTTACAATCAAAATTTATATTCTGCAAAAATGATGAATGTTATTATGATCTGAAGCGTTGAGTCTATGCAAGTGATTAGGTTACTTATGTAAGTTTGCCTGTTAAAACTACAAAAGGTACAGCATCCATCTTTTTAGCACCAGCAGAAATTAGCAGAGATTTTTCATTTCTGCCGCATGCCCCCTCCCCTTGGCAAACATTGTGTATTCCTTTCAAGGTGCTAACTGTCACCATTATATTGTGAACACCCCCCCCCCAACAGAAGTTGCTGCCTCTAATGACCAAACTGCTGGTTGAATGTAGCTCAATAATTAGGCTTCTTTACACAACAATGGGAGGCAGTTAGCTGTATGTTGCAGACTAAATTGCATTGGTCTGTCAAGTATTTTAGCTAATAAGATAGCTCGGGGTCACTGCAAACATTGTCTAATAAAAACAACAACAGGGTCATCGAGCTAGTTTGATTTCTACTTGTAATGTACCTAGCAGACGGATTTGATATACAAAACATAAAAACAAAACAAAAAAAAAAACAATGGGCAGTGACAACTACACAGAAACTTGTCGAAAAGACAAGAGATGAAGAATGGATTTGAGAAAGTTGTGCATGTGAATAAATAAACCATTAAATCAACTACTGCATTTTACCTGAAAAAGAACAGATAAGATGAAATGCCAATTATCATCAAGTCCGTGTCCCCCCAACCCTCTCCCTTTTTGTACAACGAAATTCTCATTCTTGTTTCCAATCATGTATCCCTCCATTCTCACTGCATCTCTCCCTCTCTATCCACAGCAGTTGCCCATGCACTTTTCATCAGCTGTAGGAATGCTGAATGTACACTTTACACTTTTTTACCCCCAAAGATTTGCACATGTGCAAATGAACTGCTGTGAATGTAGTAGATATAGAAGAACGATCTGAGCAGCAGAGATGTGTGAAAGTCATGACTAGTTGAGGGTAGCAGGAAAGTTTTTTTTTTTCTCATGACCGTCACGTTAAAATGAAATGACAGACATGCTTTGACTTACCTTGCCTCTTAATATTCTCAATTCTCTTGACAACTATATACTGAAGTCAGATTCATTCTTCACACATGTAAAATAACATTTTTATGCTTTTATAGGTAACCTAATATAGTGGCAATAGCTTGATAAAGAAGAGTGAAATAGCTTTAGTTTAAATTAGCCTAGCAAACTGCAGATTGCACTATTTCAGAGTCTCATTTCAGAATCAAAAGTGGGCTTTGGAAATTTTAAACTGTTGATTGATATAATATTAAATCATCAGTATCAAACAAGTTTATCATTTCAATGTAGAAATTGTAAATGCTTGGAAGAAGAGAAGTTCATGTTTTCACTCTGAATCATTAGTCAAAACTGGGTAGTGTTAGTATTTCCCTTTTTTTAAAAGGGCTATAAATAGTCCTTTTAAATTAGCTACATTGGTAAAGTTGAAGTTCAGGCTGAAAGCAGATCATGGAGATCAAAAAATATATTTTTTTGTTGTTATCTGGCAAACCTATCTTAAAAATTCTTGAAACAGTTTATTTTATTACTTCGCTCATTTTGGCACAAATGTAATGAAACAGCCCTGCGATGGACTGGCGGACTGTCCAGGGTGTACCCTGCCTCTCGCCCGTTGACCACTGGGATAGGCTCCAGTTCCCCCCGCGACCCCATCAGGGAATAAGCGGTATTGATAATGGATGGATGGATGGATGTAATGAAACAAATGCTATCACAAAACATTGATTTTAGGATTTTTGCATTGTTTACTAACCTTGTTGGCAGCTGTTGACTAACTTTTAATGCATCATGCTCGCTTTTGTTTGTAATTTCATGTTGGGATTACATTGAGACAAATGGCCAAAAGAGTCAAGATTAAAACATTTTTTAAAACATTGGTGCAAGCACACCATCTCATCCATAGCTCCCGATTTTGCCACTTGCTTAAGGTTTTTCTTAGTTCACTAGCAAAAAATTAGATCAGCTAATTTACTATGAGGCCAGTTAATTAGTGCCTCCTATTTTGATGATTGTTGTTGCGACAAAAAAACTTGAACTGTTGTTAAAGTTCATTTTTATGGGTAAACTATGCTAAAACAGTAATTTACCAGTCAAAGCACCCTCATAATAAAGTAACCTATTTAAAAAATATATATTTTGATGATTTTTTGTAATTTGGAAGTAAAGCCACATACTTTCTGATGGAGTTACTGAATTAAATGAAAAATTAAATGATGGGCATGGTACTTGACCCATGCCCATCTTCAAACCTTGGAAAATAAAACCCCCTTTAATCCTGCTCCGTGGCCCCATTTGTCTGAGGGACCAGACTTCAGTTTATACACATTCCATCATATCATCCCCGCAGAGAGAATGGCAGCTTTTGTAAATAGCATGACATCTACTAAGAGATGGTTCTGTGAAATCAACCACACGTGGTAATGACACCATCTCAGTCATATCTATAGGTCTGCTTTTGTTATTGCAACCATTGCACTACACGATCATACTTAGATATTGCACTCATGTGCGCGCACTGCTAGCATAGTCTGTTTGAGCACTCAAATATCCACTTAACATTTGTTACACGACCAGGAATCACTTTGCCGCCCAAAACTATTTTCTGCCGGTCCACATATGATCGTTCAGGCTAACACATCTGTTAAACCATCCGGTGAACTGCCTTTGGCCTGGGGGAATGTGACCTTGATAACAGTCAAGCTGTGAGTGGCATCCCAGAGTGGCTCTGTCTGTAACTACTGTGTTTGTCCATACTTGATGTGTCGGTATATAAGATATTCACATGTCTTAACCCCTTGTGTCACCTTGTGTCTTACCCATTCCATACCCCTCCACCAAACCATCGGAGCCCTCAAAGGCCAGTGGTTCTCTCATATCCATCTGTGTGAAGAGGTTTTTTTTTTGGAGGTTTGCAGCAAGGGAGCTCCAAGCAGTTCTTGCCAGAAACTGCAATAACTGTTCCACAATTTCAGCTACATGTTCTCAGTCGTTAGCGCTTCAATATTCTTTTTCATCTTACTTCATGTCACAGTATGTGAAACGAGGATTGGTATCAAAAAGTTTGTTTTGTTTTTGTAATAGAGTTTTGCTAAAGATCTTAGTGTTTTACACTGTAAAAGTGTTTACGTTTTGTTCTTCATCTTTTTGATCACATTCAACTTTGACCATATTGGAATTACAACCGATCTATTGTTATTATGTAAACTATGGAAGTTGTTCAAAAAATGTTTCTTTTTTTAAACCAAAAATTATTTTTAAATCTACTCTGATTAATGTCCAAAAGTGAACAAGATTCTTATAGTGTGCTTTAAATGTTTATTTTTTCATCTTTTTTGCATGGGTCTTGTGTCCATGCATGCACTCCATTTTTCTTTAAATCCTGTCTCACGAATATATCGAATTACGTTTGGGTTTCTTTTATTCAATAGGTACAATGTCCAAAGAATTGTGTTTAAAATTAATTTGGATTATATTATATGTATATCCATATTAACATTTTTAATTCATCGTCAATCCTTTTGTCACATATTGAGTAACAAAAATGAAATTGTCAATGAAATTGAAATAATATTTTGCACCACTTTTTTATGGCAGTCCACTGTGTGTACACAGTCAGACATTTGTTGTGAGATTTGTATCTTATGACTAAACAGTGTATTCACCATTACACCTTACATTTCATCTGTCTTGTAAAGCTCAGATGCTGTTCAAATCAATATCAGATCCACAAACCTTCACTCCAATCCTATATCCTCCATTTCCCTCTTCTGTCACTGACTCACTGTCAAGTTTTATTACTTTTTGCTTTTTATTGTTTAGTTACGATTTTTTGCTGTAAAAAGTGTTTAAAATATTATTTATATTATATGACGTTAGTATGTTAATGTTCTTTATTAAGGAAGAAGAAAATTTATTTTTGTTACTGGTCTGTTTCATAATTCTTTTCTAAATTGGTATTGTAAGATATCTATGCAAGAACTGTTAAGTGGAGCATTTTTATTTAAGAATGTAATAAGTGTAATAAATGGTAGAATCTGATTATGGCTCTGTCTGGTATGGTTCCAAAATGGTTATTACATGGTTACAGTGTTGTTTTTTTAGAGAAAACAACACTTCAAACAACACTGCTTTCAATTTCCCAACTACAACCAAAAAGTAAGGAAAATGCATAAATCATTTAATTAATTAACCTGGAGGTAATGC